ACTCTAAAACAACAATACTTAATAGTTTCTCGAAACTGAGAAAAATTACTTGAGATTTTTCTGTTTTTATCTTTAACTGACCTATTATAATATCCTGGAGGTCATGCTGACTCCAATGTTTCATTCTACTATGATTAAAAAACAGAAATTAAGGTATGAAGGTACCACGGGGAGATGTTAGAGTTCTGTGTGAAGTGACCGAAATGTGATAGGTTCTCTGGTTGCATTATAGAGTGCTCTGGAGGCAAGAAAGACAGAGTGAGGTGACCAGTAAGAAGACTATTAGAATGTTCCTGGTGAGAGGTATAGTAAGAAGTCAGAGGCCTGAACTATCACTGCTGCTGCTGTCATATTTGTTATGTATTTACTCACACCAAGTACTGTAATAAGAAACTTACACATACTTGCTTACTTAATCCTTATAACAACTCTTTCAAATTTTAAAAAATTTTGATATAATTACAGACAGGAAGGTAACCATGTACCTGTTGCTCAGTTTCCCCCAATGGTAACATTTATAATTCTATAAATAATCAAAGTCACACCTCTTAATATATTACATAATTAAGTTTTTACTCCTCTCTCCAAAATTAAAGTCTACACATTTACTTTTTCTAGCACTTGTCTTTGTGGCAGATAGATACTCAAATAGAAAGTCTAGAATACATAAAAATGAGCATGAATTTCTAAGCAGGACCTCTGTCAGTCAACACATTCACAATTCCAAGTTTTACTATGTATCAAAGTGAATGTTTATGCAAAAGCCAAATGTATATCTTCTTTGTATCACTGCAATATTGAAAAAGACCTTTAATTGAGAAAATTTCCAATTCTTATTTTCCAATTGTAGTTTGATTCTAGAATTAGATAGCTTTCAGACACATTGAGAGAACAAGATATAAGTAAATATCTGTGCAAGTTAGCACAAGTCTGAATCACAAAAGAAACTAGCTTGGTTTATGGAAAGCAGCTAAATGCCAAGTAAAAACTAATCCAAACCAAAACATTCAGCAAAATTTTTATTTCTGGTAACTTTAGCTCCTAAGTGGAAAATCTATCCCAGCTATGACATTAAAGAGTGAAAATGTATTGAGCTATAAAAATATTGGTAGATTTGGCAGCCCTTTCTCTCAAGCAAAAACTACTGTTACTGGTTCATATCACAAGTAAGAGAGCTTTGAATTAGATCAATGATTTGAAAGTGGAAGTCAATGATGTACCATATCATCTGGAGATTTTTTTTCCGTCAAAATATGTATATCTACCTTCCTTCACATTCATCCTACCACTAAGATTCTGAAGGGTAGTGGAGATGATGTGTGTGTGCCTGTTTAAAAACACTCCTAGATTATTCTGAATATATATATATAAACTCCACTTTCACAGAGATTTTCTGAATTAGGTCCAACTCTAGTTTAACATTATATCGATAGCAGGCAAAAGGAGCAGAGCTACAAAGTGACGAGGGTTTAGTAGAAGGCTCTGCAGATAAGGGGTTGTAATCACACCAGCTGTAAGCCACTTTCAGAGCTTTCTGTGCCAGCTCCTTCTAGAATCCATTGTATCACATTTTAGACAACAGCAAATGTTCAGTTCATCATTCTGAGAAAAGCACATAGGCTACTAGCCAGATAAAAATGTAAAAAATAAGCTATTTTGGGTATCAAAAAAACTAAGAAGCCATAGACACTGAAACACAAAAATTCATCTGTTCTTGCATTGAAAGAACGATAACAAAGTGCTATTTTGTGCAGCTGTTAACTTTTTTTGACTCATTGATTTCTGCTCATGGTTCATCATTTTATTTATTATCATCAGGTTTTTTATTATTTATATTCATTTTTCTATTATAAAGCTCAGTCAGGCTGAAAATCTTAATTATCTTAAAACTTATTAAATTACTGTAAAATGCCAGAACTGAATTAAAAACAATCTCCTGGGCTAAATCTATTGAATGTGAAGATGGCTTGAGTTGGATTTAAAAACAAGCTTTCAAGGTCCATTTTAGAGCAAACAATTATACTTTCTTATAGCCACTGTTTCAAATTCCTTATAACCATTATTTCAAATTCCTTATAAGAGCTCCAATACTGAAATGTGTCAGAGTAGTAGACTTCTGTCCAGGAAGCTCTGAGAGTCCCAAATAAGATGAACCCAAGGAAGACACACCAAGGCACATCATAATTACATTAGCCAAGATTAAAATGAAGGAGAGAACTCTAGAAGCAGCAAGACATAAGAAGATAGTCACCTACAAAGGAATTCCCATCAGACCGGCAGCGAACTTCTCAAAAGAGATCTTGCAGGCAAGAAGGGCCTGGAAAGAAGTATTCCAAGTCATGAAATCCAAAGACCTACAATCCAAGATTGCTCTATCCAGCAAAGCTTTCATTTAGAATGGAAGGGCAGATAAAGCGCTTCTCAGATAAGGTCAAGTTCAAAGAGTTCATCATCATCAAGCCCTATTATATGAAATGTTAAAGGGACTTATCTAAGGAAAAGAAGATAAAAAATACAAACTGTGAAAGGATAGCAAACTCACAGTTATTAACAACCACACCTAAAATAAAAGCAAACTAAGCAGACAGCTGGATCAGGAGTGGAGCCACAGAAATGGAGATCACATGGAGGGTTAGCAACAGGGGAGTGGGAGGAGGAGAAGGAGTAGAAGGTACAGAGAATAAGTAGCATAGACGATAGGTAGAAAATAGACAGGGGGAGGGCAAGAATAGTATGGGAAATGTAGAAGCTAAAGAACTTGTGACACATGGACATGAACTAAAGGGGGGAATGTCGGGGTAGGGGCATGAAGGGGGGAAATGGGACAAGTGTAATGGCATAATCAATAAAACATACTTAAAAAATAAAATAAATAAAACAATATCACAAAGGCAAAAAAAGTGGACTCCTAATTATAATAAATAATAGTAATAGTAATAATTGGCTGTATAAACAATCAGCCAATTATTATTATATTTTAATTTGGACTAGTGTTTCTTGAATCACTTGATAATTTCCTACTCAATTGTTCAACTTTACTGCATTCTACAATGACACCTACTGGCCATTCAAAATCAGCCATTAGTTCTCTAAGACAGCTCTAGTAGGCTGATTACATAATAAGACACACACACATACACACACACGCACACCACTACATAGAAGCAGATTTGTTCGCGGGTACTCACACTACTAAAATACAAGCAAAAGTATTCTTTGTGACTGAGAGATAGTATTATCCTTGCAAAAAAGTAAAAAGGCAACGAAACACCAAGTGTCAACATTTTAATCTAAAGCATTGATAAATATCACAGTACTCTCAGCATTTCAAAACTAAAATAAACTCCAAGGATCCACCCCTTCTTACCAAATGATATTTAGACAAATAAATAAATTTTTGATTTAGGTTCTGGTATATACTACTATAAACTATTAATAGAAAAATGAAAATTATAGTACACCTGCTAATACTACATTAGTCCTTGTCTTCTAAGTAAAAGGCAACGTTTCAATCAGCTTACATTTTAGCAATTTATAATGCTTCTTTTAAAACTGTTTTCCAGTGAGCTATAGAGCCAAGTTTTTAATGTAATTTGTCCTTCCATAACAGGCTTAATGAAATTCTTATATTACCTGTACATTTCATTGTGCAAGGAATTAATTATTAAAACCCAGGAAAAAAAACATGATAATTCAGTTATTTATGTCTGTAAATACATTTTACCTGAGTCAAGAGGTTCATAAAGCATACTTTTTAAACCTAATAAATAATCCATAACTCATTTCTCAGATTTACACAACAAGTTGCTTAAAAGATGACTTTTTTGCATTTCCCCTTCTCCATTTGGACCACCACCTTATTTTCAGACCTCTAGTATCCATAATATCTAGGGGTAAAAATCTAACAACGATTTTTTCGTCACTTTCCAATCTGCACTTACCTCCCACTATAGATTTTTGAGGCTCCCCACTTTCCTGAAGATGAGAAAAAAGAAGTATTTGTAATCAGCCTTGACCCTCAAAACAAATAAATCCATGAACTACAAAACGTGAACCTGGCCACGCTCATCTCAAACTAACAAATCTCTCAACCCAAGTCCATATTTGGGATAAAGTCTTCGTGACTATCTTATCCTTCACGCGTCTACGCTTACAGAGCCTGCTGGGCTTTCTGTAACCAACGAAAAAACTATTCTGACACATCAATAGGTTACCGGACCTCCTTTTCCAAAAGGGACAACCTACTTTTTAGGGTATATAACAGCCAAGGATTATATAATGTACTCGTGTAGCTTTTTAGGGTATGTAACACCCAAGGGTTAGATGTAATATGTAAAGAGTTTCAAGGATCTGATGGCCAGCAAATATCTTTCTTCTCCGCTTCTTCTTCCCACCCAGAGAAAGGGCCCTAAGGATTTCTCTCGGGTGCCTGAAATGCCGCATCCTTTTATCTGAGCTTCGTGCAAAAAATTCCTCCAGCCCTCACGACACTGTCTTGTTCCCGCCTCCCTCCCCTGGTTGCTGGCGCCAGCGCAGCCCCCCCCCCGCCATAGGCCCCCCCCCCCGCCCCCAGTCGCCGTATTGGGCTCAGCCTCCGCTCGCCTCAGCTGCCGTCTCCTCCCCACGACCCTCCCAAGCGGCTACCTGGTCTACGACAGGTTCCGGAACCACCAACACTGCGGCTACCACCTTCCCTAACAACCCTAGTCAGATCCTCTCTGTATATGCAGATCCCATCTGCAGCCGGAGGAGATTAAAATCCCTCCTGATGAAGCCCTCTGTGTCTGCCAAAGACAGCGTAGCTGCCTACCTGTCACCCTGCTGTCGCTGGCTTCTAACCGCCACCGCCTCCCGCAGCCGCCAGCCCACTGCAGCGCAATAACCAGCCCACCCACTGGGTGAGTCCAAGCTCTAACAACAGCCTCACTTATTGGCTGCAGCATGTCCAAGGCCCACCCCTCTGTTCAATGGCTAAGGATTCCGGTCTCCAAGCCAGGAAAACAGCCCCTCTCTCCCGCCCTTCTGCCCTCCGCAATTTCTTTTTTTGAAGTTAGAGTAGTGATGCACAGATATGCGGAAACACTGTCGGCTTTCAACCCCCTTCGCGTCACCTCCATAAACCTGTGACCCCGTACCGGAACGTTAAATGACATCTTGGCTTTCCTGGCGAAAGGTACTTGAGATGACAACTTCCGTTTCCGTTTGGCTCCAGCTGGAGGGTTGAATATTGAATGTCCTGAGAGGTCAGATTGCTGTCAGGTAAATTAGAGACCTGGTGGGACATCTTTTGAAAGCGAATAAGAACGAGACGCTATTCTGGGGAATTTAGAAAGGGGGAGGCTAAATAAAGAAGGATGATAAGGGACAGTAGGTCCAGAGGGAAGGAGATGGAAGAACTAGCGGGAGAGAACTGTGAAGTGCGGGAGTGGTGAAGGGTGGTTGTGAAACGATGCTGGCAGAATTACTGTGGTCGTTAAGTGAAAATATTTTTTTTCCTTCCCTTCCACCAGCACTGCCTCCCCTACCTCGTGTTTTTTGGTTTACCTTTGAATTGAATAAAGGCAGAACAGCCTTCATATCGAAAATTTGTAAAGTAGGAATAATTGTAATGTTTGACTCACAAATGTGAATAGTTTTAAGTGAAATTTTTCTGGTACGAAAACGCTGTGCTTTTGGCACAGCGTTAAAGTGAAAAAAGTAAAACATAAAGTCACATTCATTTTTGTAGTGATTTACTCTAAAAGTTCTACTGTTTTAAAGTTGCATCGTACACAGATGCAGGGACCGGAAAAGACACGAAAAGTCCATCCATTTGTCTTTTATTTTCTAATGTTCTAATAGTATGCACAATTTTAAAAATGAGAGGAAATTGAGATATATACTTGAGTCTTTGGTAAACCATAAAATTACAGGTAATATAAGTGGCATTATCCTCTTATTTCTTTCTTAGGGATTCCAGTCTGTTTTACTGGAGGTTGATCTTCATGAAATTTACAGGTTCACACCAAACATAAGTAGATAGCTTTTTAAATTTCATGATTACATGGTTTTCTTTTTCTTCTTTTTAAAGATTTTATTTATTTATTTTTTAGAGAGAGGGGAAGGGAGGGAGAAAGGGAGGGAAGTATCAATGTGTGGTTGCCTCTTATGGTGGCCCCCACTGCGGACCTGGCCTGCAACCCAGGCATGTGCCTTAACCGGGAATCTAACCGGGGCCCCTTTGGTTCCCAGGCCCTGCTCAATCCACTGACCTACGCTAGCCACAGCTAGGTTTTTCTTTTTTAAACTAATTTCCTTGCTATTCTTGTTTGAACATCTCTGAACTGGAAATAATCACCTATTGTTGAGTCCTTGGCATAATTTGTCACTTTATCTAACTTTACTTTTTATTACAAAGTATACATAGCAGAAAGATGTATAAAACATAAATACATTTTAAAGAATTATAATTAAGCAAATGCTTGTGTAAATGACCTTTCAGGTTAGGAAATAAACATCACCTGTGACTTAGAACATGCATTCTCAAAAGAGGTAATTGACCTTTAAGCAGATGAAAATTGATTTTGCCAGGATGGAAGGGGAGTGAAATCTTGGATACTACAATGGTTTATGCCCTTCCAAAGAGCCATAATACATACGTACATATACAATGTATCAAAATTTCATTGGGGATGTGGGTGAGAATGTGATAAGGAAAACAACTGTTCATGAGAGGCTCCTTTAGAGTACAAGAATTAAAAATAGGTTGAAAAACACCACCTTAAAGCTCCCTGTAGAGCTCTGATTTATCTCCTCCACCAAGAGGTAACTACTATCCTGACTTGTGATAAGCATTCACTTTTTTGGCCCTGGCTGGTGTAGCTCAGTGGATTGAGGGAGGGCCTGTGAACCAGATGATCCCAGTTTGATTCCCAGTCAGGGCACATGCCTGGGTTGCAGGCCAGTTCCCAGTGGGGGATACATGAGAGGCAACCATACATTGATATTTCTCTCCCTTCCTCCTTCCCTTCCCCTCTAAAGATAAATAAATGAAATTTTTTTAAAAATTCGTTTTTTTACTTTAATTTTCCATCTGATGCATTCCTAAAAAATGAGTTAGGTTTTTCGATTTAAATTAATGGGATAAAAGTATATATATTTTTTATGACTCACCCCTTTCCCATTATTATAGTTGTAAGATGCATTCATACTGTTGCATGTTGTTTTTCATTTTCTAATCTTTGGGGGACTATTTTATAATTAATCAGTTGTTGGATATTTGGGTGTTTACTATTTGGGGCTACCATCAACAGTGTGGTTAAAAGATTCTTATAAAATATATTGATATCTACATGCAAGAGTTTCTCTAGAGCAGAGTGTTGTCCATTGATAATGTAATACAAGCACATATCTAATTTAAAATTTCTTAATAACTGCCCTGACCAGCCAACACTCAGTTGGACTTTGTCCTACAGAGCAAAAGGTCGCTGGTTTGATTGCTGGTCAGGGCACATGCCTGGCTTGCAGGTTCAGTCCTGGTCAGAGTGCATGTGAGAGGTAACTGATTGCTGTTTCTCATACTGATGTTTCTCTCCCACTCTTTCTCATCTGTTTTCCTTCTCTCAAAAAAAAAAAAAAGAATAAATTTCTTAGTAACCATATTAAAAATGTAAAAAGAAACAAAATTAATTTAATAATATATTTGTGAGTACACTCAAAATATTTCAAATGTAATCAAAATATTTTAAAATGTAATCAGTGTTAAAAGTTATTGAGATTTTTTCTTCATACTGTTTTCAAATTGCTGTATTTTATACTGGCAGAATATGTTTGTATGCTAAGTTTTCACAAATATAAACACTTGATCTGTTTATATTTTATTAAATTTACTATCGATAAAGTAAATCCATATATTTTCCAATAATTAATTTGAGAATCCGTTTTTAAATTTAAATTAATTACAGTGAAATAAAAAGTCTAGTTCCTCAATTGCACTGGCCACATTCAACTGCTAGTGGCTACCATACTTGACAGTGCAGACTTAGAATATGTATACTTAGGAGTGGAATTGCTAGGCCATAAGGTATTCAAATGTTCACTCAGCTTTTCTAGGTCATGCCAGTTTTTCAGAGGGGTTGTGCTAAGTCACATTCTCACCACCAGGGTGTGAAAGTGAAAGGCACATCACCATGTGCTTTCTCTGTTTCTCACACTATTGCAAGGTAGCTTTTATCTTCATGTTATATGAATAAACTGAAATTTAAAGAGATTAAATGATTTGCCCTGAATTTTACAGCAGTTAGTGGTGCATCCAGGTTTTAATGCCAGATCTGTACAGCACCAAAGTCTGCACTTAAGTAGAATTCCAAAATTGTCCCTCAAGTGGTAAGGATAAACAAGTGGATTGTTTGATTTGTGGCTGTTCTGAAGTAGAAATAATTTTTTAAAGGAAATGAAAAGTTTTCTAGAAATAGTGTTGTTCAACTTTCTGAAAGGTCATTGAAATATTCTGTTTAGTATTGAAATATGTTAATTAGATATAAGAGAAAACACATTAGATTTATTAAAGGAAATTTGTTTAGAGAAAATTATGTATACTGTCATGTTTTCTTCAAAAGATTTATCTTCCAAATGACCTAATATTTTGCACATAGTGATATAAAATTGAGACATACTATGGTAATATTTTGATTTTTATTTTCAAAATCAAACTTTTGTCAAAAAAATTTGATGTTTGTTTTGTATTCTCTTCTAAGTACACTGATACTCAGTTAGGGTTAATAGTCTAGAATTGACATTTGCCAAAATAAGGGTTTGGCCTGTAATCTCTTCAAACATTTTTGGAATGAAACATTGCTGGAAAAATATTTTTTAAACATGGTTTGAAGAAGCCAAGACATTATTATTGTTATTAAACCATTCTAAAAGTTTTTTGTAATACGGTACTGAATTTCAAAGGTCAGTCTGAAATCTAAAACTGTAATTTTTTCCTTTGTATTATTGAATCTGCCAAATAAAAATGAAGTAATTGATTAAATGTTTCATTCAATGTTGTGAATGTTGTAGTTTTAACTTGTGTTTGGTGGATATTGGTTTTTATTCTCTTTTAAATGTGAAAATCATCAAGGTAATAGTTTGTGATATCTTAACATGTCTTTAGATATAATTATTAAATATTAGTTTGTCAGAATTAGTATGTACAGTTTTTTTCCTATATTCTGGGAAATATTGTTTAATGAAATGAGCACTTTACATAATGTACTTTTAGTATATACTGTCTAATAATTACCACTATCTTCTAAAATGCAGTTTAAGAATCCTGCCTTATCATTGGACCTGTTCATATTTATAAATGCAAACATAATGGTAATAATTATTTGATTTGGCTTTATTTCTGGAGAACAGCAATTATAGAATTGCTACTACTAACCTTATATAAATTTACAGTGTAGCATTACTAATTTATTCCTCCTTAATTTGAAATTCATAGCAGTTTAACTGGGTACTGAGCTAAAGTTTGTTTTTATATTATCTATAAAATAATGCTAGTAAGATGTTTGAATTAGAGGAAGTGGAGACACTTCCAGCCAAGATGAGGGCATGGATAAATGCAATACTCCCATTCTCCACAATCACATCAAAATCACAAGTAAAGTACAGAAGAACCACCATTCAGACCTCCTGAAATCAGGCTAAATGCAAGTCTTATTAGATTAAATAAGAAGCCACATTGAGACTGGTATGAGGGATGGAGACATGGAACAGGCTGGGCCCGCATCTGCAAGCCTCAGATAAAAATCAGGAGGCATATCTCAGCCATAGAGTTACCCCCTGAGGAGCAAAGGGTCCCAGCTCCACACTAGGCCCCCAGGGTCAGTGTTCCAGTGCTGGGAAAAGAAGTGCCTATAACTTCTGGTTGTAAAACCAGGATGAATTCTAGACAGATGGCTGCTGGAGTCCCAGGCAGTTCCTTTTAAAAGGCCCACACATGGACTAAATCTTACATCCTAAGCTCCAGCACTGGGATAACAGCTTCAAAGGCACCAGGGACAACTTTCTCCCAGACAAAAGCACTGGCAGGAGCCATTGTTCCTTTGATGAGCCCTCTCCCCACAGAGCTGGCAGGTGGGCACCATCAACCCGGCTATCACTGTTTGCTCCAACCTGAAAAATCCCTGAGACACCTCTCCACCAAACTTGCAGACCCACCCAAGCTGTTTCTAGTGGATTTTCACGTGAATGGCCTGTCTTAACTCAAGCTTCAGACTTTCCTAAAACCCTGCAAACAAGCAGCATCTAGCCTCTGTGTACCTCACACCCTCACTAAGTGGCCCCAGGCTCAACACTGGAGGCAGCTAGCCTTGGTTTGCAGCTTGGCCACTCCTGGGCACCTCCAAGCCCAGCACAAATAGCAGCCATCTGCAGATTATTCTGTAGTTCATGCCAGGTTGCCCCAGCAGGACACAGGTGGTGACTGACTTTGTACATGCTGGGAGGCCCCAGAGCTGGTATACCCAGTGGACAGCTTCAGACCATGCAATATTATAACTGCCACCACCACAAGCCACATGTGCAGGCAGTGGACTCCATGAACACCAAAACCCCACTGAAGCAAGCCCTGTTCCATAGGATCAACTCCAGCACAGTAGCTCCTCTAGTGTAGTCACAACTGGTCTTCCCAGCCAATCGATCTTGGAATTAATCTCTTCAAGTGACGCCAATAGCAGTCAAGGCTCAACTACAACAGGGCAGTGCACACAGCCCACAGAGGGGCACATCTAGAGCACCCAGCTTGGGTGACTGGGGAGGCTGTGCCACTGGGCCCCACAGGACACCTATTACACAAGACAACTCGACCAAGTCCAGGAGATAGCAGCTCTAACCCAATACATAAAAACATACGTAGGGAAGCAGCCAAAATGCAGAAACAAAGAAACAGGTCCCAAATTAAAAAAAAAAAAAAAGCAGGAGAAATCTCTAGAAAAAGAACTAAATGAAATGGAGGCAAGCAAACTACCAGGTATAGAGTTCAAAACAGTGGTGATATGGATGTTCAAAGAACTTAGAACTTCAACAGCTTAAAAAAGGACTAATCAGAAATGAAGGATACACTAACTGAAATGAAAAATAATTTACAGGGAATCAACAGTGGAGTAGATAAAGCTGACCATCAAATCAGCAATTTGGAATATATGCAGCCAGAAACACCCAGTCAGAACAGCAAAAGAAAAAAAAATCCAGAAAAATGAAGATAGTGTAAGGAACCTCTGGGACATACACTAGTTATGTGATAATAATGCTATTTTATAAAATCTCTTAACTCAGAATTTTCAAGTATTTATATTGGTTCTTTTTTAAAAAACAATAGTAAACTTGGTTATTTAATATCTACAATGAGCTATTTCTCTCTCATATTAATCTTCTATAGACATGGCCCATGGACATGAACATGGACACGAACATGGTCACAGTAAAATGGAACTTCCAGATTATAAACAATGGAAGATAGAAGGGACACCATTAGAAACTGTACAGGAGAAGCTGGCTGCACGAGGGCTAAGGGATCCATGGGCCCGGTGAGGATAATTAAATAATTCAGAATTTAAAGAATTTGTCATAGAGAATCAGTATCTGTTTCTTTTTTATGTATTTCCCTTTTTAAAAAATAATTGAAAATGATTTTTACATTAAAGTTTCAAAATCACTTTTATGGAACTATTTATATACAGTAAAATTCACCCATTTTAAGTGTTTAATTCCATGAGTTTTGACAAATGTGTACAATAATGTAACCACCACCACAATCATGATAGAGTCTATTTGTGTCAACCCAAAAAGTTCCTTCTTTCCCTATTTCTACTCAGTGTCATCCTACCCCTGACTCCTGGAAACCATTAATTTGCTTTTTGTGTCCATAGTTTTCCCTTTCCTGAACTTTATACAATTGCAATCATACAGTATGTAGTCTTTTGTTGTGAACACTTTCACATAGTATAATGACTTTGACACTTACGCATGTTGTTAACTTGTAGTTTCTTTTTTATTTCTGAGTAATACCCATTGTGTGCATATACATCATTTTGTTTACAGTTCATCAATTAATTGCCTTTGGGGTTGTTTTCAGTTTTTGACTATTATGAGTAAATATGCTATAACCATTCAAATATAAGTATGTGAACATAATGTTTTTATTTCTCTTTGGTATATACCAAGAGTGGGATTCATATAATAAGTGTGTGTATGTTCATTTAAAAAACTGCCAAACTGTTTCCAAAAGTGGTGGTACCATTTTGCATTCCCACTAGCAATATTATGAGGATTTCAGTTGTTCAATGTCCCCATCAACACTTAGTATTATAGGTCTTTTAATTTTAGCCATTTTAGTGAATGTGATACCTCTTTATGCTTTTAACTTGCATTTCCATGAACACTGATGATCATAATGATCTTTTCCAGTGTTTGTCATTTGTGCTTTGTGTGTGTTGGGGGCGTGCAATGGCTGCTCAGATCTTTTGCCCATTGTTGATCAAAGGTTTACATACCTTGTTTAACAAGGTGTTTGTCTTTTATTTGAATTATGAAAGTTCTCTCTATGCTCTTAATATTTAAGTCCTTTTATCAGATATGTTTTACAAGTGTATTTATTTGGGATCTTATTGAATCTATAGTGCAATTAAAGATCATTGATATCTTAACACTAGAATTTTCTAGTTCATCGACAATTGGGACCCTCTAATTTTTCAGCAGTATTGTATTGCTTTATATAAGGTCTTGTACCTATTTTATTAAATTTATCCTGAATTATTTCATATTTTTATACTATTGTAAATGATTACCAATTGTTCTGGCTAATATATAAAAATATAATTGAGTTTTGTATTGTATGCTGACTTTGTGTCCTATTCCCTTGCTAAATTCACTTTTTAGTTCTAACATTTTTTAATAGATTTTTTAGACTTTTTAAGTGATCATTTTGTGTTACAAATATAGTGTTACTTCCTTTTCAATTTATAAACGTTTAGTTTCTGTTTTCTTTGCATTATTTACTGGCTAATGCTGCTAGTATAATGTTGAATAAAAGTGGTGTAAATGTACGTTCCTGTTTTTGTCCTAGTTGGTGGAAAGTATTCAGTCTTTCACCACTGAGTATAATCTTAGTTGTAGGCTGGTCATAGATACCTTTAGTCAAGTTGAGGAATTTCCCTTTTATTCATAGGTTACTGTGAGTTGCTATTATTATTATTATTGTTGTTATTAATGGGTATTGAATTTTGTTAAATGCTTTTTTGCATCTATTGAGATGCTCACATAGTTTTTTTTTTATTCTGTTAATATGATGAATTACTCATTGATTTTCAAAGATTAAACTAAACCAGTCTTGAATTCCTGAAGTAAGTCCTATTTCATCAGGATATATTATCCTTTGCATTTATTGCTGGATTCAATTTTCTAAAATTTTGTTAAGAATATTTGAGTCTCTGTTCATGAGGGATATATTCCTCTGTAGTTTTTTTTTTTTAATGTCTTCGTCTGATTTTGGTATCTAAATGATGTTTGATTAGCTCTCATTTTCTAGTAAGTCAGATTTTTAAAGTTAAGGGCTTTTATTCTTCATAACATGATTTATTTCCACTCACTTATCCCCACCTGTGGGAGAAAAGTTTTTTTTCCACTAGAGGTCTCTGACATGTTTATATCTTTGTTTAGGGTACTCAGAAGAATGATTGCCAGAGTAGGAAATCAGTTTTCTAAAGCTCAAACTTCTATGACAGGGAAATTTATTAGCAGTGATAATAATGTCAAATGTTACATACTCTCTGTGCCAAAATATATCAATCAATACCCTGTTTATTCTTTATAACAACACTGTAAGGTAGATAGTAATCATCATTAGGAGACTGATGAGTAGGAGAGGAAATAGGCCCTGAGAGGTTAGGTAACTTGCTCACCCTAAAAGAATCTAGTGTAGGTGGCAGAGCAAAGATTAATACCCTCTACCTCTCTCCATGATGCTGTAATGACTAGTATGGGCAAAGCCACACAGCTGATCTGCAATGCATAGGATCAAAGAAAGCTTTACATTTGAGAATTTTATAAAATTCTGAGTATTATGATTGTGAATGTGAAGTCAAGTGTTTTTTTCTTCTATTTTATATGTGAAACATGGGCATATAGATCTAATTATCCTATCCCGCAGAAAGATTCGTGTTGTGGGCCACTTAGATTATCTTACAAGGTTGTGTTTACGTCTTAGAAAGATGAAAATTAGCCCTGGCTGGTGTGGCTCAGTGGATTGAGTGTCAGCCTGTGAACCAAAAGGTTGCTGGTTCAATTCCCAGTTAGGGCACATTCCTGGGTTTCAGACCAGGTCCCCAGTGGGGGATGCACAAGAGGCAGACACACGTTGGTGCTTCTCTCCCTCTCTTTCTCCGACCCTTCCTCTCTCTAAAAATAAATAAATAAAATCTTGAAAGGTGAAAATTAAATGTATTTTACTCAGTTAATGTACATAGTTGTGTGTGATTATAATTTCCCTTTTTTTCTTCTAGCAATGAAGCCTGGAGATACATGGGTGGCTTTGCAAACAATGTTTCCTTTGTTGGTGCAATACTGAAGGGATTCAAGTGGGGGTTTGCTGCGTTTGTGGTGGCTGTAGGGGCTGAGTATTTCCTGGAGTCCCAGAATAAAGACGAGAAGCATCACTGAAGATAATGTCTGGAAGTATCTTAGTGGCTTCTCAACTCTCATAAAAACAAGATTTCTTTACTGTAGCCTACTCATCTATGTGTTTGTCCATTAAAGAATACTAGTAAGATTTAATAAAAAATACATGTGCCAGTCTGTTTTTGTCCTTCTTTCAAAAAAAAAAAAAGTGTTTCCAGCCATTCAGACTTGCTTTGGACACATGGAGGTTGAGTAGTACAAGTGACAATGTATTCTGCATTAGCAGGCAGCCAGCATGTATCTGAACAAATGGATGTTTCTAACAGGATGTTTCTAACTTTTAAATTATGATAAAATTTTTCATCTTAACTATTTTTTAGTGTATAGTCAGTGGTGTTAAGCACATTTGTTACATTGTATGATCATCACCATCATCTCTCTCCATAACTATTCATCCTTTAAAACAGAAAGTCTACAGCCATGAAAAATAATTCCCTATTCCCCTTCAATCAGCAATCACCATTGTATTTTCTGTCTTTGTGATTTTGACTACTTTGTCTAACCATCTCATGTAAGTGGAAGCATACAGCATTTGTCTCTCTGTGACTGACTTATTTCATTTGGCATAATGTTCCCAAGTTTCATTCATGCTGTACAATAGCATGTGTCAGAATTTCCCCTCTTTTTAAAACTAAATAATATTCCATTGTATGTGTATGTCAAATTTGCTTAGCCATTATTCATTGGTAGACTCGGATTACATCTGTGTTTTAGCTGCTATGAACGTATGAGTACTCTAGTAGGTTTTTAAATGGCCTTGTTGCTTTTACTATCTTTTGCAGCTGGTTTAGAGAGACCTAGGTTACACTATTAAATGCTTCCTGTGCAGTTCTGGTTGACATGTCTATCATGTTCATTTGTCTTGTGATGTTTTCACTCTTACTGTAGTCCTCTTTCCCATGTTGTGAAAAGTTTGACATTTTTTTCTGTATGTCTAACAATACACTAGACATTTTCTCCATATCACTGAATTTTAAATTTTTAATTAAATCTCTAAAGTTGAGACTTAAAACTGTTGAAGAGGGCTCCTGTATTTTGCTTGAATAACAAAGCTAATATAAAATGAGTGTTTTTTCTTTGTAAATTTTTGTTTGTAAATATAAACTTGAGAAATCACTAAATAAGTGAGGCAGGAATTCCTAATAAGCTGATAGTTGTAAGTGGAATGTGGTAAAATGCAATAAGAGACTGAAAGAAGATGAAAGAGTTTAACAAGGAACAAAATGCTGGGCAGAGGGGAGCTAAGGGGGAAAACTTGGGACAGTTTAGTAGCATAAAATATAATTAAAAAATAGAACAAGTAGAAATAGCAAGATGGTAGATTTAAACTTAAATGTAAATGGCCTAAAATTTAAATCCTAAAACACTCCAATTAAAAGATAGATTGTCTTGTTCTGGCCAGGTATCTCAGTTGGTTAGAGTATCATCCCTAAATGCCAAGGTTGCAAGTTCAATCCCCAGTCAGGGCACATACAAGAATCAGCCAATGAATGCATAAGTAAGTAGAACGATAAATTGATGTTTCTCTTTCTCTCTACAACCCCCCTATCCTTGCCATCTCAGATCAATGCAAAATGTTTTTTATTGCATGATGCTCTCAAGGTCCATCCATGTCACAAATGGCAATATTTCAGTTTATGGCTGAGTAGTATTCCATTGTATATATTAGGTACCACATCTTAATAAAAATAAATAGACAGATTGTTAACTTGGGAAAAAGCAAGGCCCAATTGTAAGCTGTTTACATGAAACTCCCTTTAAAGACAGAGCGGGAACATTTGAGATCTTGCTCTTCAATATATGCTCATCAGTTTGGCTCAGATGAGCTCATAAGAATTGTGTACAGGTTTGGACATTTCTTACATTGACACCACAGTCTTAGAAGACCCTCGCCAGGATCTAGGTGTAAGAGGTAGGCAAGAATATTGATGTGTCACTTGATGAGTGGACAAAGGAATTAGGCCCTTTATCCAGGAAAAGAGAACTCAAAGCAATGGTGTGAAAATAATCTTCAAACATTTGAAGGAAATCAAGATGGTTCAGTGAGGGATGGCAGTTACTTGTGACTATGAGGGGAATCAGCCTTTCATGAAAGTGATACTGTGGATTGCTAAGAGGGAAGGAGAAGAGAACCTGGGATTTTAATGATACCGTCCAGCTCATTGAATAGATCTGGCTGTGAACAGAAAAGCAGCTTCGTCTTTGTGTCTGGGACTTCTTTCATACTGTGAACTTTGACTAAGCTCACTGTCTTTAGCAAACATGAAAGGAAACCTTCTAGTTGATGATTACCTGTGTTCCATAAAAAGTAGCCATAAATATTGTTGTTAGTAAAGGCCAGAGTGGCATGACAACCAAGATAAATATCAAAATGGTGCTAGTGCCAACTGTAAACAATCATCCATCACAAGACCACCAGGAGGTATGGCCTCCAGCTCATATTGCATTCTTTGTCCCTTTGTCTTGTCAATTATTAGTACCTAAGGTATACTAGTAAACAGTATTAAACAGGTTTCTGGTAATGAGGAATAATTTGTTCAGAATGGCTGGGTCATCTTTCTGCTCTGATCTTACATCCCTGTAAGTAAATTACCCTATAATGAATTCTGTTTTTTGGAATTCTATTCTATAGAATTCTATTCTATATTTTGGAATATATTTTATTGATTATGCTATTACATTTGTCCCATTTTTTCTCCCTTTATTCCCCTTCACCCTGCACAACCCCTCTAACCAGTATTCCCCGCCTTAGTTCATGTCCATGATTTGTACATATAAGTTCTTCGGCTTCAGAGATTTCAACATTCCTTTCTCAGTAATTGATAGAATGAGTGAATAAAAAACTAGCAAGATCATAGGAGACTAGCTTGATGTAATATTTACAGACCACTCCACTGAAAAACAGCATGCATTCTTTTCAAGTGTACATGGAACATTTACCACAATAGTGTATTCTGGGCCATAATATAATGTATTAAGAGGATTAAAATCACACAAAGTATATTCTCAGACCACAAAGATATAAGACTAAAATAACATCTGAAAAATCTACAAATATTTGGAAATTGGATAACACCCATGTAAATATCTCATGCTCAAAAAAGTTTACAAAAAATTAGAAAACATTTCTAACTCAATAAAATGAGAACAAAATATAAAAACTTGCGGATGCCACTAACAAAATTGACTTCTAGCCCTGACTGGTGTGGCTCAGTGGGCCGAGTGCCAGCCTGTGAACCAAAAGGCCACTGGTTCAATTCCCCATTGGGGCACAGGCCTGGGGTGCAGGCCAGATTCCCAGCTGGTGTACATGAGGCAACCAATTGATACGTCCCTCACACATCAATGTTTCTCTCCCTGTCTTTCTCCCTCCCTTCCCCTCTCTCTAAAAATAAATAAATAAAATCTTTTAAAAAATTGACCTCTAGCTAGACTGTTGAGGTAAAAAGATATAAAATAGACATATTAGTAATGAAAGAACAGACATCACTACAGATTCTAGAGACATTAAAAGCAATAAAGGCATTTTACAAACAACTTTATGCCAATAAATTTTGATGCAGTTGACAATGTCCTTAAAAAGACAAGTTAACAAAGCTCACTCAAGAAGTAGATAACCTGAATAGTTACGAGTAAACTCATTTGCTGGGTTAGGTAGAGAAAAGATAGAAGTGCAGTGCTGGGGACAACAGGAGTTTTGCTCTCCCATCTTACAGCTGATTTTTCTTACCCATCCTAACTTGTGCTAGAAGCAAGGAATGAAGTTTTTCTTATATTTTGTTAACTTGAAAATCATTGCCTGAACTCCATAGGAGCTGCAAAACACAAACTACTCGCAACTGTTGCCATTACTTGGACTAGAAACAATTAATGCAATTATTTGTTCTTAAGATTTGTAATCAAATTACAGTAGAAAATAATGCTTATTATGTGTTTGCAAGGCTCAAAGTAAGCCCGGTAGATCGTGTGTGTGTGTGTGTGTGTGTGTGCGTGTGTGTATTAGCCCCAATTTGTATTTATGGCAAGTCCATTGTAAAGTAAAAAACCAAAGATGGCATGGCTAGTAAGTTTCAGAGTTAGATTTTGAATTCAGGATTGACTCCATGACCCATAGTAACCACTATATTACACTATCATGTCATATGTGATAAGTACTATATAAGATGCCATAAAATTATTCTTTGGATCTTTTTGGAGGGAGGGGTTGTAGGGAAAAAGTTGTGTTTTCAGTTCTTTGTAACAATAATCTGGCTATGAGCAAGATAGTTGTATGATACAGAATAGACCAATTGAGCACATTTTACACTATGAACGTTCATAAGGCCAAGTACAAAGGTTATGGGAAAATGCTAAAGCTATAGGAATGCTGGTCATAAAATTGGATAGATATAACATCTCTTATAACCTTAAGTCAAAGGAACTCTATATCTAAAGCTACTCTATGTCCACAATCCTTATGTATGCTAAGGAAAAGCAATATGGCTTAAAGAAATGAAGGACTGGACTTCAGGAGCTATAAATTTAATTCCTAGTTCTGTTACTAACCAACAGGAATATTTCCTCATATTAAAACACATCTTTGTGAACTATGAGTGTGTTACAGAAGATCAGAGGACCTGGATGAGTGAGCGAGCTAGAACCTTACAAGCTTAAAAGCATTGCAACCTAAAGTATTATTATGAAATCATATTTAAGAGGTGATTTATGATTCCAGGTTTACATCAGTTCCTTTGCTACAAAGCGGCAGACTTGGTTATAATTAACCTCTGTGCTTTGGATCTTTTCCTAGAATTACATACTTTCTAATTATGCTTGCTATAACCAGTAAGAATTTTTAAAAATCTAAGGTACAGCATGTAATATTTCATGAAAAGAGGAAATAATGAGTACAATAAATTTACTGCATACCTATACTTTGAAGGGAACTGTGTTTTGCCATACCAAATGAAACAGATTCAGACATTTTTTGAAAGTAACATAAGAAATTCAGTGGCATTAAAAATGTGTGCAAACATAAAAACATGAAAAGACTGGGAATTTACTCATGTGGAAAGTTAATATGGTGGAAGAAACAAATTAGAAGAAAATAAAAAAGGTAAAAAAGGGGTTGCAGGATA